AAAGCTCAGAGATAACAAGAATTATGAATAAAAGAAGGCGGGTTAGATAGAAATTGCTGAGTTGCAGTTGCATCGGTACATGAATTAGCGTTGGAGCGCGACAGATGCTACATCTGCGATTGTTGCTGTAGCCAAGAGACCTTCTCTTCCAGCCTCCTGTGAGGCTAAAGAAAACTGTAAAAGGAGGGACGCTCCAATGACGTCGTTTCTTGGCTCCGCCTACCATGCAGTCACGCGCGGTCAACGTCCAACTTTTAACTGTTACCTGATGGTACCTTTGTTCCGCCACTGTTTCTTCATTTCAATTGCTAAGAGTGAGGTGGTAAGGGGAAGGGCGGGCACCAACGAGAACTCATCCGGCAACGCCCTTTCTTCACCGTACCCGTACAAGCGCAGTTCTGCATGGAGTTCTATATTTGACATTTTGGAACGAGTATTTTCTGCCTTTTTCTCCCGTACTGAATCACTCATTGCCTTGCCACTAGTATATGAGCCGCGTAGCTCCCCCATTTTTGAACTCGGGTGTGCCTTTAACCTGGAGTCGGGACACAAAATCGCTCTCTTGTTCTGATTCAACCGAGTTCATCATGCTGCTCATTCACGCGTGCAATTTCAGGTGTCGCAGTGCAATTTCTCATTCCTTGCTGGTTAGTGGTGAGTGCACGGAAATACGCAAAGAGCGTGCTGAACTTCCCAGTACCGAAGAAACACTCAAGTCCTTTCAAATATAACTACTGGCCATATGCAATAGTCATCTATTCCATATTTGCCATAATCATGGTTACTTTGAATATAGTTGGTGTACGATTTTAATTTGATCTTTTTAACAGTTTCTCATGTTACTTGTAGTGTTGTATAATAACTAAGGGCATTGTTACACTGGTTCTCACAAAGGTAGAGGAAAAAGGGGAATTTTACGCAGATTATTACCTTCCCTTCTTATATAACCAATCAATTAACATGATCAGCACTAGTATCGATTTGTGTCGCACCTAACCTTCTGTCCTGTGAGAACACAGTGTCTGAAGAAGCGCTTTGCTATCTTCCTTTTAAGAGGCAGTATAGTTTAGATTCGATTTTTTTTACATACAACGCTAGATAGTTCTTCGATTATTAGCATTTCTACGTTTTAATTAAGCATTCCTTGTATCGCATTTGTGATAGTTACTGCATTTTAGCCCCAGTGAACATCCCCTACTTACTCCTTACATAAAGCACAGAGATTTATTTCAACAGGATATTCACACTGTGATACTCGTACAAATCATGATTGTAATAAATACCTATTTCTTACAGTTTTCTACCTACATAAAACTGTCTAACATCTCTAGCGGATCATCACAGCAGCTAGAATCTTTATCCCTGAAAACGAGAGGGGGTGTGAAGGGGAGTGGACCGGCGCGCAGCACGGCAGCCTTTTCCACAAATAATTACTGACTCGGTGGGGAAGGCTACTCCTGGCTGCGCCCCAACCACGTCCCCTTTACTCGCCCAATCGTTGTGCCGTCATCAGGATCTATGTAACAATAAAATAACAAGAAAAAAAAAACAAAACTGCCACCTAATCAGGTAACTGGTTGAGTTCCTCCTGATTGATATCATAATCCTTGAATTTTTGTTCTAGTCGTCTCCATCTACCAAAAACTCCAACATCATAAATGTTATTGAAGAATTCGACCACTGCCCAGTCCTTGAGATTTGTGTCTTGAGACTCATATATCCTTACCTAGAACGAAAAATTGTAAGACTGGTGAGTGGTACACTCCAAATCACGGATGCCGGCAAGATATAGCTGAGCTCTTCATTTGAACATGGCTGAGTAGGACGAGAATTGTTCAAGTGTTCCTATTTGACAACTGTCATCTTATAGTTAGATTCTGCTGGACGTAGACAGTACTACAGTTGTTATCTTAGCAATATGGCGGGGCATCAGAAGGCGTAAAATGAGCGCAGTCGCAGCGGTTCCACCACTGGTTGTTTTCTAGCTGGACCAGCCACAACTGATTGAAAAGGCAGCCCCGGGTCAGCTCATTCCACGCCTCCTGACATGACCCTGTCGTATTGCGACGATATCAAGCACCAGTTTGCCGCAAACCGACAGTGTTCCAGCGGAACTGCTCCCAAGACTAGCTTCATTGTAACGAGAACGTGGAGTCATTCATTATCGCCGTCGTGTTCAAAAAGCCCTACATAATTTGCGTCATTCTGAGACAGTTACGTATTTTCCAGGGCTGATTCAACCTCGTGTAGGTCCTGCAAGCTAATTCTCTGGTAATTAAAAACACCGAGCGCCAAATTGTTCAAACAATGCTGTTATACCATATAATTTGTTTTTCATGACTCGAACCTACAGGTACAGTTGATAGTCAAAACCTCTGCAATTCCAGGTACACAGGTACGGATACTGATGATACAAGAACTGAGACTAGAGGCCGATAAAAGTGTTCAGGAAGTCCAGTTATCTTGTCACTCAATGCAAAATATGTTCAAGGGGTGGAATTTCTGGACAGGTGTCCTTTTTGACCACCCCCTCCTGCCTTGTACGTCACCCCACAAAAAACTGCCATCTGCCTAGCAAAAGCTTAGCTTTCCTCAGTTGAAAATCAGCTGTCTTTGACAAATCATGAACAACAAGCGAAAACTCACAGCACTATCATGTGTAGATTGCACCAGTAACGAGAAAAACCACAAATTGTAGTAATGTAAACGATTTTGATTGAGAAGCAAGGATCGTTCTGCTAACTCCGCATCTGTAATGGTAGCTAGAGTGAAGACTTTATCATTTTAACGGTGCGGTAGGCGGACAAGAAAATCGCAATCTGCCGCGCCGTCGCATGTAGCGCATTGGCGGCGATGCTGGACAATTTCTGGGTGCGCATCAGGGGCTAATGCCGTTTGGACTCCAGAAATTTCGGCTCCGAGCTCATTTTCAAATTGCCTAAGTCACCAAATCCACTAAAAACTTGTATATAGGGGTAATTCAACATCCTGATTACGAGTATGACACTCATTCTTGGCGCTGGCGCCAAGAGAGGACACTACGATTACCTCCTGGGCTCAGCCTTAGCAGAGCGCAGGTAACCGTAGTGTCATCCATTAGCGCCAGCGCCAAAAATGAATGTCATATTCGTGATCAGGATGTTGAATTACCCCTATATACAAGTTTTTAGCGGATTTGGTGATCTTGCCACTTTTAAAATGAGCTCGGAGCCGAAATTTCTGGAGTCCAAACGGCATTAGCCCGCATCAGGTTGCCGACTGGAGCACCGAAACGACTCAAGCGAGGGTAAGACTCCAAGCTGAGTGCTATCGATCTTTCTCGTCCGTTCAACATTCAAGTTCAAACGGCTAACTCGTCTCGTGGGAGACGTCGCTCATCACATCCACTAGCATGGCATATTGCGATGGTCTTGTCACATATACAGGCGCTGCAGGGGCCACTTACCTGTTTCTTTATTATGTATAGATGCCGGCAACAATGTCATTCTCTGACGTAACTCTCTTAATTCATTCATCGTCCTTAATTCACTAGGATTTGTACGATAAGCATACACAAGAGAGCCCAAACCAGTAAAGTACACGCCTGAAGTTTACAAGAAACATCATAATTGAAATCTGAGTCTGAACCAAAGACCAAATAAAATGAGCTCACCAGCTTTGAAACGGTTTTTCTACGCAAGCAGAAGCAGTTTCTTTAACAACTATCCGATAGTCGTTGGCTATTCTGCGCCAGTACTCAACAAAGCTTACACCCAACCTCCGCAAAAGGCCCGGAGTGGGGCTAGTAGCAGCCATTCCGACCTAATTGATCCTTACAGCCTTTCGTCGGCCTTTTTAAAAGGAAAAATGGAAAGAAAGGAAATCAAGTAGTGGATACTACTACCACATGAGAAATGAATGAAAAAGATCAACGTAATACTTTATTGGTCAAGTTATTTCTACGACTTTGTCACAACCGATAAACACTTTATAAATTAGGGTTAAACGACCAGGTATTACTAGCGGAGACACAAGTAACAAAACAACAAAGAATACTGTTTTTTTAAAGAAGGGATTAGCGCATCTTCTTACGTTTAGCCTCATTCCAATAAAGGAAGAATTGTACGAAAAGGACGGCATTCAAAACTGCTGCTATTGCAAACGAAACGATCAACAGCGTATCACCGGTATCTTGAACTGAAGTGAAGACCCGTGCAATGGTACCTGGAATAAGCCAAATTGTATCCACAAAGAAAAACAGGAATATGACCAGTCGTTAGGTAGCTTCTACCAGTTCTCTTCGACGCTGAACCGTCTAATCGTCCAGCACCCAATCATTCATGTATAAGCTACCAAGTCAAGGAAAAGTGGCGCAAGCGCTTCATGTAGCGTAAAAACCAAATTACTGGATTGAATAAGGGCCCCAATTCGACTTTGGGGAGCAATTCGCATTTGGCTACTCCCCGTTGTCTTGTTCATTGCTTTGTAAGAATTGGCAGGTATTCTTTTCAAGAGGTGACAAGTTTGATACCCCTTCTGGCTTGACAAGATTTCATAGATCTCTACTTGAAGGCTTGGAAGTAGAAAAAAAGTCCAAGTGCCCCACCTCAAGCCGAACAGCTATATTAAATTGGCGGCATCTGGTATCAAACACTACAGTTCAGCAGCAACCGAAGTACTGACTCTTTGTCGATACTTCGAGGCGCGGCTCCCGCAAAGGTCCCTGCTCACACTAATGGAGGTACACTCCTTATT